AAGGGTAGTAAAGCACAAGTCATTTTTTAAAATATAAAACATAAAAATTCTCATTTATTTTTTTATTTTTTGTTCTTGTTTTATTTTTATTTCTTTATAAATTACCTCAAATTTATACTTATTACAAATGCCTATTGAATGATATATATTCGGGTAGTAAATATGCCAAATTATTGTTAAAAGAAATTTATAAAAAAGGTGTTTTGTTGAGATATAAAAATGGAAGACATGATAAATCTAGCAACATAAAGTATGCTATGATATTTTTAGACACCTAAACATATGCAAAATGTTTTAAAAGGTTGAGTTTTTAAGTTGCAAAATGAATTAACTCGGTTTGTAAAATGTCCAAGCTTTCCTACAACTTTTTTTAAAAAAAATATAAAAAGGTGTTATTTTAGATATAAGATGGGAAATATCATAGCAACATAAGTTATGCTATGATGTTTCCAAGCACCTAAACATATGCAAAGAATTTTTAAAGTTAAGTATTTAAGTTGCAAAAAGAATTAACACCATTTGTGAACCATTCGTCCAGCTTTTACTAAAACTTTTTACTTTAGAAAGAGTTCCAATGAATATTTAAGAAACTCTTTCTTTTCAACTACCAATTTAAAGCATATTTTCATATTTTCCAGCGCCTGAAAATATGCAACGAGTTTTTCAAAGTAGTGTATTTAACTTGCAAAAGGACTTTTTGCTTTAGAAAGAGTACCAAATGAATATTAAAGAAACTCTTTCTTTTCAACTAGCAGTTTAAAGCATATTTTCAAATTTTCCAGTGCCTGAAAATGTGCAACGAGTTTTTCAAAGTAGAGTATTTAACTAGCAAATTGATTAAATTCCATTTGCGGGATGTTCTCAAACATTTCTTCTTTAAAAATATTACGAAATGTAACTTATAGGAAAAATCTTTTCATTTTACTGAAGTGATAAGTGAAGAGATCCCTTGATCTTTCGTAACACATTTCAGATTTTTTTAAAAAATTTCTATTCCTTTCAGTTTCATAATCCCAATTTGAATTTAGATTATGTGATAATAACTTAAATCCATTGATTTTGTAATAGCGTATCTTTGAGTGTCTTTATTGCTTAATAACATTAAATCAATTGCCCTTTTTACTGTTTTCTTTTTGCTGAACATGGAAAATCATTTAATTTTTTTTCATATTGCAAAAAAATATATATATTAATTTTATTTCCTTTAATAGAAAATGTAAATCAAAACATTAAATCATAAATCACCACATAAATCCTTTAAAGACAGCATATGTTTTTTCCCTATATATTACCCATAATATCAGAGACCCTGCAGTATGGAGACAATGTCAAAATCAAAACACTTGTGAAAGTATAACACACCAAAAGGTTTAAAGTGACTACCCTTTTGATTACTTAGGGACTTTAAAGGAACAATTGACATATCGCCTGACTAAGGGGACAGCAAAGTATTTACTTTTACAAATACAAGTTTTCTAAGAAGTAAGAGATTGCGTAAAAAAGGATACATTGACTGCTACAAAATCCACTGGGTTTATGGTGCATGCTTAAACACACTCATACACACAAATCTTAACCACAAGCCAAAATAAAACACCAAAAAGAGAAAAAACTTATGGTCAATTCTCTGCACTTTCTTTTAACATAACGTTATATTTTGCTTTCACTCAAAAAATGATTATATATATACATATAAAAAAACACACACACAAAAGCAAACATATAAATGAATATAAAAAACCATAGCATACTGTAAGGATTTAAAGCCAATTATTTTCACAGTTATCAAAATAATTTATTACTCTGAGATTTACAGCGATTGCAAACAAACAGATGTACAAAAAAAAACCAAAAATATAATACATACAACAACAATAACATACAACAACATATAAGAAAAAAAGAATATAAATAAATAAATTTCAAAAACATAAAGGAAAATTTAAAAACATATTTCATACACTTACAGTCATTTCCAACAGACACCAACACACAGTCATTATACATGTTTTTTTTTTATTTTCTTCAACATTTATAAAAGAAAAATTTATTTCCAAAAAGAAAAAATAATTCAAATCTTCTTATCTTATTATGTATATTGGTTGTATTTCTATAAGATTCGTTTACATACATGAGTGAATATATCTAAATTTTCTCTTTTACTCTAAGCAACTTTTTCATAAACCGCCTAAGCTTAATAAAAAATATAGAAAAAAAAGTTTATTATTTATATAAACTTAAATTCATTTATTTACAGCTGTATGCTAAATCAAATTTCTTTCTTTTGGTTTATTTTCTCAAAACAGAGTATATTTGTATTTGTTATTGGCTGAGTGTTGTTGTTGTTGCAGTTAGATAACAATTTTTATATGTGTCTAAAGTTTGTTTACAATTACCATAAATCATTTAACAAATAACTGCCTACCCCTTCTTTAACTACTCCCACCCCCTAAAAGCAGGCAGTGCTTTTGTGTATGTATGTATGTCATTTGAAATCATAAAAAGAGAGAAAGAAAAGCAATTACTTTAAATGCAAAACGATTAAAATTTAAATTGTTTATAAAACCCTAAAATTCTCTGTATTTTTTTAATATTTTTTTACAATTATGCAAACAATCAAGCCATACATTTAACGCCATAATAACTTATCAACTATAGTCGTTATTGATGTTTAATTTTTCTTGTTTTTTTTTTTGTTCACCATCAGACCAAAATAAATATTTATTTTACAATATTAACCAAAGGTTTACACAACATTTATTTATGTTGAAATAACTGCGTCAATTCCGTGAGTACAAAGGTAAATCTCTGTTGTTTGCCAGCACTATAAGTATTTTTAATTGAGTTCGATTATTAAAGCATACCGTACAGGCGCTAATTGAAATGGGAAGAAAAATTAAATTTTTAATTTAATTACAGGGGTTTTATTTTTTGAAGAGCTTAAAGCTTTTAAAAGGATTTTTAAAAAACATGTTTGGTATTCAGGATGGTGAAATGAAAAAATTATTAATTATTGTTTTAAAAGCATATCAAACAGGCGCCAATAGTAACGAGGCAAAATTTAAGTTTAAATTTGTGGTAAAGCTGCCAAATCTATGTTTTTTATAAAATTCTGAAAATATCAGGCAATATCGGTGCTAAACTGATGAAATTACCCGAGTAATCAAAAATCCTTGAACTATTGGTTTGTCCGTTCGTCCGACCATCCAACAGAATTAATAAATCTCAATGAAATAACTCAGATAACTGAATATATAATATAATTTATTTTAATTTTATTAATATAATAAAATAAAATAAATTTAAGTAAAAAATCTTTGAAATTTTAAGAAAAGTTTTTAAAATTTATTTTAAAAACTATTTTTTTCTAATTTTTTCCAAAAAAATCGATTTTAGTTCATATAATATTTCCATTCCTGATTTCAGCTTGTATTGTTATTGTTTTCAGCTATTAATATCTTGTATATAAAACTAAATACAACAACAACATATAACAATTAAGCTGCATTTTGTTGTAGTTTTCATTGTGTTTTGCTGAGTAATGACGATTATTTTTATGGGTCGTTTTGAAATTTAGCTGATATCACCATTATTTAAGGGACGATTTCACTGATTTTAAATCTCAAACTTTTTAAAAGCTTGACTTATAGAGTTACTGAAGATTCGAATCACGAAGATATCTGGCGTCTTCAGAAAATTGATTTCAATAGACAAACAGACAGACAGACAGAGGGACAGCCAGACGGACAGACATAGTTTAATCGTCTCCGCTATATATAAGAATCCAGAATATATATGTACTATATAAAATCGGAAATTTATATTGTGAACTTAATAACGACATTACAAACTTGTATAAACTCTTCTCACGTAGGTGAAGTGTATAAAAATCCTTTCTTAAACCTGTACAGTTTTACTAAAATCTGTTTTATCAATCTTTGACTTTGAGTTAATGTTAAAAATTGATTTCCCCTGATAATGCGGTAAACGGCAATAGCTAAAATTTCAAAAGGGCGTAAGATTGTTTATGTTAATGTAAAGGTAAAAATTACAAGTTTCCAACTCAAACACACAGGTTTTCATTAAAATGAAAATAAACTTTGTAATGTTTACTTGAAAGAGTTTAACTACTACACCATTTCCGGTTAAATATGAGAAATTTTTGGAAAAATTACAAATCTTATTGGGAAATTTTGTAATAACAAGAATTCTGAAATAAAAGTTTCCGAAATGGGAAATTTCTGTTATACCATTAGAATTTATAGAAGAACAATTGAAAACGGTGTAATTGCAGTAAAATGTTTAATATGCCTGTAGTAGAGATGTATGTGTAAGTTTCTTTGCCCAAGGTCTCTCAAAAAAACATCACACAAATGTAAACAAATTTTGTCGGTATGCATGACAAAGGTTCTTCCTATTGAAGTATTTTAATCAATTGCATTTATAAAAGTCCTTAAACATTTTCAAGCCTCCTACAATGAGACAACTACAATCAATAGTTTTATACTATACGAAAGAAGAGATAGAGTAGTTTTTTGCAATCTATTGTTAGGGATAAAACACCCAAAAAAAACTGTATAAACAAAAGTTTTGTATGTTATTGTCATTTGCACAAGATCTGCTTGTGGCTGCAACAAAATGTTATTTTACATTAATGTTGCAGCTGTTTAGAACCACATGGTTTTGCTAGGAGTCATGGTATTCATAGTATTCCAATTATTTAAAGAGGTCCCGCTGATTCTTACATAATTTAAGATGTTTAAAGGATCTACTGTAGTATTGAATTCTAATCGAATTGTAATGGGATTGTAGTTTGTTCTCTTATCCTGAACTGCAGGGTATTGCGAGTGTTTTTGTGTGCGTGTATGCATAAATGTGTGCTAGTATATGTTGGTAAATGTTATTTATAGTTTTTCCTACTGTCTGCCCAAATTAGTTAGAGTATAATCATAAAATATTGTTAAACTTTTAGTTATGTAAATTTTTTGTTTATACATTAGGTTGGATCACAGAACAGAAGTTGCAAAGTTGGGTAGTGGTATTCTATCATTATTTGGGTCTTGAGGTTCGATTTCCACTAGTAAAGGGGCACACAAGAGACCCTCTATTGGTCTTCTGTATTGGGTCAGATCTGATATAACTTAACTTTTAAAATAAGAGTTTAAATCAATATAACAGTACTTACTGGTGTTCCATAATATGGTTCCGCTTGTATCAGATAAGAAGTCTTTTTTCAAAGTTTTTGAAAGCTACTCTTAGATGGAGTAAATATAACCTATTGTCTAAGGCCCCTCTTTACAAAAAACCTTGTTTTTCCCTTGCTAAAATTAGACATGAAAACACACCCGTTTCTAACCAATTTTTGTATATAATTTACTAAACAACTTATTCTAAATACTACCTTTCATCAACCTACAAAAATATACTGTTTCCCTTTAATTGCCATTCATTTACCTTTAAAAATTCTTTTCCCTAAAAATAATATTTAATTCTCATAATGTTGTTTTTATCTACTTTGTTAGAACATTTTCCTCTTTCATGTCTAACTGCTAATTTGTTAAAATTAATTTCTTTAATTTTAAATTACATTTATTATCAACTTCCCCCATTAGCCGCAACGCACATACACACACACACACAAAATGGCGGAAAAGGAAAATAGGACATGAAAAAGAGTATTCAAATGTATGGATGCACTTTATAGAATTGAGGAAAAACTTTGTTTTTTTTTTTTTGGCTTTTTAAATAGCTCTGCACACATACTTAGAATAATGGTATATAAAAACTTTTACACACACACACACATTTTCATATAAATAACCCACATTAATTGCGTTCATAAAATGTTATTATTTTGAATTTATGATTATACATGTTGGCACATTAATTTCACGCCAAACTTTGAAAAAAAAAACATATTTATACAAACCAACAAAGACCAACCAAACCATACCAAACCAACCAACCAACCTACAGATAGACATTCAAAATATTTTATATAATTTACTGAAACTGATGTATTTTTTCGAAATAAATTTCAAAAGAAAAAATGTAAATAAAATGATGCTACCGCACATTAATGCCACAACAACAACAACAATAACAACACATAACAATGTTCATAAATTTTGAAAAGAAACAACAATAAATAAATAAATGGCTTTTTTGAAAAAGAAAAAAAGAAATATTCATTCTGAGGTAAATTTAAGTTGTACTCTGGCTTCTCAGTTAACTAACCAAATTGCAGGGAAATTGTTAATTTTCCATCTTCTTAACAATAAACTCTAGTAGCAACAGCCACATTTTAGGGGCAGCCACATAAAACACTTCAGTTATTTATGACAATTGTTAAGTATGAACAAATTGAAATTGAATTACTTTCAGTGAAAAATGTTTTTGCCTTCTACTCCTGCCAACAACAACAACAACAAAAAATACATAAAATTAACACTTACTTACTGGGGTAGCAGTTTATTAAAATCATCATGCAAACTTGTGTGTCTGTTCCAACTTCTGTTATAAAAATACCCAAAATGGTCAAATTATATTAACAAAAAGATTCATGATAATTATGTTGTAAGGGAGCAAAAACGCCCATAAAATCATAAAAATGACATACTACATTATATTTATGTCTGCAGCATGATTATAATGATTATTTATATTATAATTTCTTTCTCTTTCTTTTCAGACCTGCTACGAGTTAGAACGTTATTTGCGTGATGAGCCCAAATTACAGTCCTATAAAAAACTACACAGTGAAATTGATTCCTGGGAAATATTCTCAGCACCTGCACGCATTCTAGAAGAACTTAAAATTAAGGAACAAAATTTGGACTCTATCTCGACTACATCCTCAGTTTCATCACAATGTTCGGGCATGTCATGGGACAGTACGGGTTCTCAGTCATTAAGCTGTTCGGTGGTGGTTAAGAAAGAAAGACTGGACGATGAAGATGACGAAGAGGCTCTCAGTTCGGATAATGGTGAGGAGAAAATGATAATTGGTGGCATACATCACAGTACGGAATCATCACAATCTGCGCTACAACATGTTTTAAGTACAAGCCATATACTAACAACGACGACTGCTACGCCAACCACTACCACAACAACGGTTATGCAACAATGCCCGTTAACGGAAAAGGCCATTAAACTAAGGGTAGTGGCGGCTAAAACTCCTACTGATCAACATCATCATCACCATAGTCCTCAGCTTATTAGTCACACTAATAATCATGATTATGCTTTACCCACCCTAACACCGCCCTCATCGCCTGAATCCATACGTACTAACATCTCATCCAGCAGTTGTCATCAGCCACAGCAGCAGCAACAACAACAACAACATCAAGCAACAGCCCAAATTGATGCCAATGAATTGGCTGCTCTGATACAACAACAGCATAAACAGCAGCAGCAACAACGTCTTGGCCATCAACAGCAAAATCAGCAACAAACCCATGTGCCACCTACTACTACTGCCATTTTACGTTTTCCCGCCGCTGTCGCTACTACAGCCACTGTAAGTCCCACTACTAGCAACACAGTTCCTCTGTTACAACAGCAACAACAACAACAACACCAGTCACATAATGTACAACCAATAACCACCACTCAACAGCAGCAACAACAACATCAACAGCAGCAGCAACAACAACAACAAAAACAGTCTCAGTCTCCAGCAAATCATGTCAGCACAGCTGTACCTCATCATTTGACTATACAAACAGCTAGTGCTGCTACCAATACCGATCCCCAATCGGTTAACACTACCACTACACATCAACTCAGCCATACAACAAACATTCCCCGCAGCACTATTGTACGCTTGACCACTACAAATGGCAAACAGAGTGGTGCCATTAGTTTGGCCCGTGTCATACAAATGCAAAGCAACAATAGTGGGAATTTATCAGTGGCCGCTGCTGCTCTACTCAATACAGCTCAGGCGGCTGCCGCTGCAGCAGCAGCTGCTGCTAATGGTGGCAATGTTGTGGGGAATACGACGAATAATTTGACATCGGCTCAGATCACACAGAGGGGTACTCAGCTACAGAATCCTCAAGTAACAACACGTAAGTTTAATATATGCTCGAAAAAAATAGAATCCTTGAAATATGCTTTATATTTCAAAATGTTAAAATATTCCACTTATGCTTTACTTTCCTTATCCCTAAAAGTATGCTTATATTAAAAATAAAAAGAAACTCCCTCATGTCACAAACACACTTGTATAAACTATAAAAGAAAAATAATGTTATTCAATATTAAACCAAATCTTTTTCCTCATTTCATCATCATCATCATTAAATATCAATATATTTTATTAATTACTTTTTGTTTGTTCATTTGCTATTGTTATAACCTTGAAATTCATAATCAATTTTCATTCTCCCATTCTCTGTCTCTCTCGGTGTTATTGTAGTGACCACAAAACCTCATCAACGTCAACAACAGCAACAGCAGCAGCAACAACAACAGCCAACCTCAGTACAGCAACAACAGCCACAACAACAACAGCAATTACATGAACAACACAGTCCTGATGCTAAGCGCCGGATACACAAGTGTCAATTTGTAGGCTGCAAAAAAGTCTATACAAAAAGTTCACACTTAAAAGCTCATCAACGGACACATACCGGTAAGTGAAATTCATTTATAATTCACAATATGTATCAGCAACAATTGTTGAAATGAACTCTCATCCATACATAATATAAAGTATACGAAAGCATTCAATCTTAATAATAATCAAGTTGAAAACATGCAATAGACATGTGTTTATTAGGGGGGGAATTCGGAAATAAATTCTTATTCATTTTTTATCGTTTGAAATTTGTTTTGTTGGCTTTCCATTAAAATTGTATCAATTTTAATTGGAACCATCCTAATGTACATACATATGTAGGTGTATGTTTGTATGACAGAAACTGAAAACGAATGTATATAAATCCAAAGGCCAAGTAATTAATGACCATTCCATCCGTATATAAACAGACTGTGTTGACTCATTAGCATTTATGGACGTTTTAGCGTACTTTTCTATGACAATGGTTCTTGATGTCTTATTGGTACTCTCGGATTGATTAGTCTATAACTAGTCTACTGATTAGCAAACTGTCTTATCTACTCACTATTCAACTGATTAGTCTATTGACTAGTCCACTGATAAGTAAGCCTATTGACAAGTCTACTGACCTGCCTAGTAATCAGTATATTGACTAGGCTAGTCCGTTGACTAGCCTATTGACAACTCTATTATATTTTCTATTAACTAGTCTTTTGACTAGCTTATTGACTAGTCCATTATCTATCATATTGACTAATATATTAACTAGTCTACTGACTAGCCTTTTGTCTTGCTTATTGTATATTGAACAATCTATTGACTAGTCTACTGAATAGCCTATTGACTAGCCTTTTGGTTAGTCTACTGACTAGCCTTTTGAGCAGTCTATCGAGTAGTCTATTGAATAGTCCATTATCTATCATATTTACTAGTCTACAGACTAGCTTATTGACTACTCTTTTGACTTGCCTATTGATTAGTATATTAATATCCTATTGACTAGTCTACTGTCTAACTTTTTGTCTAGCCTCTTGGCCAGTATATGGAGTTGTCTACTGACTAGCCTATTGACTAGTGTATTGACTAGCCTTTAGTCCAGTCTACTGAGTAGTCTATTGACTAGTCCGTTGACTTGCTTACCAATCTATTGTCTTTTCTATTGACTAACTAATTAACTAGTCTATTGACTAGCTTATTGACTAGTCATTTGACTAGCCTATTGATTAGTCCATTATTTATTATATTGACTAGTCTACTGTCTTGTCTATTGGCCAGTCTATTGAGTTGCTTATTGACTATTCTATTGACTAGTCTACCGAATAGCCTATTGACTAGCCTATTTTTTAGTCTACTGACTAGTCTTTTGCAATGTCTTTTGTCTAGCCTTCTGAGCAGTCTATCGAGTAGTATATTGGATAGTCTATTATCTATGCTATTGACTAGTCTACTGTCTAGTTTATTGACTACTATCCTATTGACTAGTCTATTGACTAGTTTTTTGACTAGACTATTGAGTCCTTTTCTATCCTATTGACCAGTCTGTTGAATAGTCTGTTCCCTAGTCTACTGACTAGTATATTGACACGTCTATTGATTGGATTATTGACTATACTTTTAGTTAGTCTATTATCTAGCCTGTAGACTAGTCTATATAGAACCAAATAGGTCAATTTATTGGCAATCAGTGTCCGCATATTTGTAGATTTACCAATTTTCATCACATCCCTTAGTCTACTCCACTGGTTTTAGTAATTACTATGACAGCAGTCTCCTAAGTAAAAGAAATCCAAATAATACTGGCTTTGACATGTCTAATGAATGTAAAGAAATTAAATACATACCATAAACATACACACATACATACATAAATGTATAACATTTACAGGCATAAATAAAATTTCATCCATCATACCAATTTCTCTATACATTAAAATACAATCATATTTATAAAGCAAAAAAAAAAACTCCTCTCTTGAGATCAAATTGAATACAAAAACACATACATACACAGGGGGTATACAGTTTCATATATGTGTGTGCAAACACATACATAAATATTAAAGGATATTTATAACATAACGGAAGGACAATTGTTATATGATTTTATTAATAAATCATGGACACATACAATGTATATTACATATACAAACAACGTCATGTTTAATATATACAATGTATACATCTACATATGTATATTAAACATACATACATGTAAATTTATTATTTATTCATCTAAAGGGACCTTTTTTCGGATGACAACAAACAGAAATTTTTGACATTTCAATCTAGGTATTGAAACCATGTCATCATATAACATTTTACTTTTACACCCTTTCGTCTGGCATTGACACTGCTTACGTCCCACCATTCAACTATAAATAAATGTTGACAGGCTCCAGCATTGTATACAATTTACATTTAAGTTTCTTTTCTTTTTTTTTTTTTTTTGTTCAGTAACTTTTGGTGTTTGTAAGCGTGTGTCGAGAGTAGTTTGGTGTTAAAATAAAGCTTTAAAGGATTTAGTGGCAAATTTTATTTTGTATATGTATGAGTGTTCGAATGCCATAAAGTGAATTTTATATTTGAGAGATATTAAAGCAAAGTAACTATCTCCATCTTTTCAAAAACTGATTTGATAGAGTCTTCTAATTAAATTTAATAATGAAATTAAAATAAATTAATGAAACTGATTAAAGCAAAGCCGGCTAAGACCAAATTCCAGATCTGAATTTCCTACAAACATTAATAGAAGTTAGATTCAAACTTTCTTTAAGATCTTTAAATATTTTATTTAAGAATATGAAATCTTTTTTCTTCTATTTATTTAAGAAATTTACAAAATTGGAGTTTGTAACTTTTGCTTCTAAACTTTACATTTAATTTTAGGCATTTATAACAAATTTAGTTTGATTTTGTTCTTGTCTATGTGACATTTTGTAAAACAATTCTTTAATGTTGTCTTTATTGTTGGAATTTCAGGGGATTATTTTCATAATTGTAAAGTTAAGGGTTTCAAGTTTAAGACAAAGTGTATTTTCCTTTTCATTCTAAGTATTAAATTAAAAAGGGGTTTACTAGGAATTTGTTGTTTGTGAAAGTAGTTTTGTGTGATGTATGATTTAGAGGTTAGAGTGTATTGGGTGAAAAGATTTTTCACTATTATTCTTTTTAGTTAGAACAACAGAATTTTTGTAATATTTATTGATATGACTTACTTTTTGAGCTTTGAGGTTTTTAAAGGGAGGATTATATAAAATAGTTTTTGCTGAAGAATTTTAAACTAAAATGTTTATGATTTTTAGATAATTGGAGGGGATATTATGTCTCCCGAATGTTCTCTTTTGATAAGAAAGCCTTTTTTCCACAGAACAAAATGCAGAAATTCTTGTTTTTTTCTTAAATTTCTTAAAAGCTTTTTTGTACCAACTTTTCTCTAAAGTTTAAACTAAAGAACTCGCTCCTCTTACAGAAAACATACTTGACATTTGTGTCTTAAAAGTGTTGTTTAAGAGCTTTTAAAAGCTTATTTGTGAGATACAAGCTTTTGAAAAATAGTAGAATGTCATATGTTTAATGAATTTCCTTTTTTGACATAAAATATTCTTGACATTTGTAAATGTTTTAAAAGCTTCACTTAAAAGCTTCTTTATTAAGTAAAAGCTTTAACTTATAACTTTTTAAGTATAATGTAATTCGCTTTTCTTGCATAAAACATTATTGACCTTTGTGGCTTAAAAGCTTTTTTTAAGAGCTTTTAAAAGCTTATTTGTGAGGTATAAGCTTTTATTCTTGAAAAATAGTGGTATATCATATACATATGTTTCATGAATTTCCTCTTTTAACATAAAACATTCTTGACATTTTTAAATGCTTTAAAAGCTTTCAAAAGCTTCTTTATGAAGTAAAAGCTTTAACCTATAACTTTTTAAGTATAATTTAATATCAGTGAAGTTATGGAAAGGTTTTTTCTAAAATTTTGTTTAACAAACTTTTCACAACAAAAAAGCTTAATCCTGTAATAAATTATAAAGCTTTTTTTAAACATTCATAACATGTTTAGTGCTTATTTAGGTGCATTTAGAGGTTAAATAAGACATGTTTTCTTTAAATAACCCACATTTACTGCCAACTTATAAACGATTCTTCTTAATTGTCGTCTTAAAGCTTTTATACAAAAACTTTTCTAATTTTTCCATCTCCAAACTTTTAAGTATTTCTTTAGCGCTCAAAACAAAGATCTAGATTGTTAGAAATTTTCCAAAAATATCCTCCTATGTTAAGAAATATTTAGTATTCCATATTAATTAGTTTTTCAAAATATCTTTAGATGAAAAATTTTTTTTTAGCTGGAACCCATTTTAATGCTCAAACCTTATAAAAGGTTAATTATTTATAACCACCACAAGGAAAAACTAATTTTACTGTTTTTGACATTTTCTTCATTCTCATTATATATTTCCCAAAAAAAACCTACGACGACATAAAAACAAATTTGTTTAGCCTGATTTTCTTATTATTTGTTGTAGGTATTTTGTTTCTGCTAACCAAAACTTATTATCAGATTCTTATAAATTTTGATGTAATCATTACAAAAGATTTTACCCCAACACCTACAGCATAACATGGCTACAAATAGAAAACTTATAGAGTACGTCAGTATGTCTATAGTAACCAGCTTTTATGATTTATTTCTAAACGAAAAAGTAAAACTGGCCCACAAACACTAAATAACAGCGCCTAAGGGAGCTTTTGTAGTTGCTTACTAAAACGACAGTATAATGGTTATAAAAGAAGTAGTAGTGGTGGTTTGGTTGGTGGGCGCTCTGTTAAAGGATGGATGTATATGAAAATGTAATTTAATATTTTTTTATCTCCTCTGCCAGTATGCAACGATAACCTTTCAACAACTTCAACTTATTTAAGTTAAACAACTAAAATAGAACTTACATAAATACATACTACAATAAGACCAAACAGCTTTGATTTTGCTTCCGTTAACAACTTAGCAGGGTTGATTATGAAACACAAATTAGGAAAAAACCCAAGTCAAAGCAAATGTTATAGTAGTAGGT